GTGGCGTCGGCCCGACTTTTATAGAACGGAACAAAGCAAGCGGGTTCACTTTAATGGCGGCGCGCCAAACTTCCGTTCCCACTACTTCCAGGTATAGGAGGTCATGTGACCCGTTCTTCCTCCCATGTGACCGCTCTGGCTGGTGATTTGGAGGTGGGAAGGAAGCTGGTGTCACCATCCATGAAGCTTGCACATGGGGACTTCCTTCCCTCCCCAAGACGGCCCCAGGGGGGCAGATATCAGCTGCTGGTGGGGTGGGGGGCATATGGCTTTGCCCCGCATAGATGAAGCACAGGTTCACTTTAAGTATAACAGATGGAAAAGGACAATTCCACAACAATGAGCCGGAACTCGTATCAATCAAAGTGATTATTGTCACAATTAAAGCGGAACTCCGGGAAGAAAGGGAGAGCGGCAGTGACCGGTCTTTATTACAGGAGGGGGCGGAGACAGGACCAGTCACCCTGCACAAGGAGAGAGAGCAGCAGTGACTGGTCTTTATTACAGGAGGGGGCGGAGACAAGACCAGTCACCCTGCACAAGGGGAGAGCAGCAGTGACCAGTCTTTATTACAGGAGGGTGCGGAGACAAGACCAGTCATCCTGCAGAGGAGTAGAGAGCAGCAGTGGGCGGTCTGTATTACAGGAGGGGGCGGAGACAAGACCAGTCATCCTGCAGAGGAGTAGAGAGCAGCAGTCAGCGGTCTGTATTACAGGAGGGGGCGGAGACAAGACCAGTCATCCTGCAGAGGAGTAGAGAGCAGCAGTCAGCGGTCTGTATTACAGGAGGGGGCGGAGACAAGACCAGTCATCCTGCAGAGGAGTAGAGAGCAGCAGTCAGCGGTCTGTATTACAGGAGGGGGCGGAGACAAGACCAGTCATCCTGCAGAGGAGTAGAGAGCAGCAGTCAGCGGTCTGTATTACAGGAGGGGGCGGAGACAAGACCAGTCACCCTGCAGAGGAGTAGAGAGCAGCAGTCAGCGGTCTGTATTACAGGAAGAACACGCATGTATTTAGGGAATATCTCCTGATCTCGGAGTTCAGCTTTAAGCTCATCTTTGGAGGTCACTTTATAACGTTTTGCTGCCTCTCGGTTATTTCCTGTGAGTGGTTTTGTTTCGGGTTTCCTCGCCTATATTATCCTGAGGATGCGCCGGGTTGGAATGATAAGCAGATGAAGCTTCAGGTCGGTTGGCGCCGGCGATTTGGCGGATCTCCGACCGCCGATATTTATTATAGAAGTTTTTTGTATTTTCGTGTCGCTACAAACACACCAATGTATCCGGAGATGTCGCGTCTCTGACCCTCGTGCTGCCCACAGCGTAGAATTGTCTGTCGCTGCGTCACCGGGGTCGTGCGTCGAGGAATCGCCGTTTTCAGATCGATGTTTTATTCTTCTTCTGTTCCTCATTTCAGAACAAAGTCACGTGATCCTCGCAAATCATGGCGCCTCCGAAAAGTGCCGTCTGCCACTTAACTAGCACTTTATATTTTTTTACGTATTCTAAAATTGCTAAAATAACCGATTTTCGTGCAAAAAAATAAATAAATTCCGGAAACCTGTGTCCCATACACGCATACGTACATACACACACGCGCATATGTACATACACACACCTACACATATGTACACACACACACACACATATGTACACACACACACACACACATATGTACACACACACACACATATGTACACACACACACATATGTACACACACACACACACACACATATGTACACACTTATATATATATATACACACACACACACGTGTTATATGTATGGAACTTTTGTCAGCTTTCTGAGTGAAGATGAAAGTTTCGCCGTGTCACACAATGTTGAGAGCGCGTTTCCATGGGGTGTACTTACTTTCTCTCATGCCTGTATGTAGGGAGGAAGGAGAGAGAAGCTTTGTTTGTATTGTGCGATCGCTTCGGTTGGAGATCTCGAATTCCATTCTTCTGCCAAAACCTTTTTCCGGGTGGATTTGTTTTGCACTTTGTTGATCTTTTTGTCCTCTGGCAAGTCGCGCGTTCGCTGAATTGTATTTTATATGATAATAATAACTTTTATAGAAGTTTGAGATACTGTAACACTAAAACCTGTTTTATATAAATATATTACACACGCCGAGCCGCTCACCGCGTCCTCGCACACTTCCCGGCTACGTTTTTATAAAGAGATGATCTGATGTGTGACCCGCGTGGAGGGGGAGGAGTTGTATTTTGATGCCTCGCAATGTACCACGGACGCGTTCTTTTTTTTTTTTTTTTTCACGTGAAGAAAATCATCAAAAAACTCCCCGAAAAACAAAAGCCCGTCGTAGTCCTTCCGTCTGAATTCCAAATGTACCAAAGGATCTCTCGGAGCCCAACAATGGGCTTCACGTCAAATGTTTCCACGCATTGACCGGACGGACGTTGATGCGGAAATGTTTATTCCTCGTCGGGATTTGTTTTTTTTGTCTTTTTTTTTTGTATTAATTTTGTGTTTTCTGATCTTTTTTTCCCCTTTTTAATATTCTTCTCGTGTTTCGGATTTTAGTTTGAACCCTTTGCTGTCTTATGTCTGGACATTTCCTGAGCTGACCAGACGCGGCACATCATGGAAGAGGCGACTTGTGCTAACAGGAAATATCTTTGTTTTATTTTTTGTTCGGTAGGGATTGGAGTATTTATTTCCATCATTGACCCCTCCCCTTGGGGGGCGGGGTTTAGAATGTAGCTTTGTACATGGTATATATGTGTGTAAATATATATATATAAATATGTATATGAAAAAGAAATGGGAACCAGAGCCCAGGTTACATTAACATGACTCCTCCCCCCTCCCCCCCCCGTGCCAGTGCTGCTTTGTGCTAATGAGATGGGAGGAGCCATGGAGCTCGGGGGAGGGAGTATGTAGAACACAGGAGGAGGGGGGCGGAGTTAGTTGATCCCCCTGCTGATTATACTTGGTGCCCGGGGGTCTCAGATCTTGCTTTGCAGAAATGGGAACCAGAGCCCAGGTTACATTAACATGACTCCTCCCCCCCCCCCCCCCCGTGCCAGTGCTGCTTTGTGACCTCTCTAATATAACTATCCAGCGTGTCCATACACCACACCTCCTCTGCAGATATAATGATCGATTTATATAGGGAGCCGCTGTGAAGATTTAGGAGTCGCGTGGCCCCTGACTCTTTAGGGTTGGGGCCACGTGGCCAGCTTCTGGTGGTTTGGGGGGTATGGCTGCGCGGGAGCTCCATCCACCCTTGCAGCTCCCTCACGTGTCCTGTAGAGGTGCCTGGGCCGGAGTGACATCACATTCACCTCTACAGGGTGCACAAGGGAGCTGTACCAGCATTGCACATGTGGGTGGAGCTCCGTCACAGCACATCAGCCCACACTGGACCCCAGGCCGAGGAGGAGGGGGGGGGTGGGACCTGGAAATAGTGTGTGGGACTGTGTCAGTGTATTTGAGGGCCCGTTCACACAGTACCGTGCGGGAGGTGCGTTGCTATTCATTTGAATGGTACCCCAAACGCACCTCACATCCACAGTTCGTACACTGGCACCGGATTGCGCAGTACCCTAATGCCGTGCGTTCCAATGCAGTGCGACTCGGGTCCCAACTTAATGGCCGAGGACAAATGTGAATCCTGAGGTCACATAGGTGGAGAACCCCTGGACTACAGAACACCCCCCTATGTTATGGAGATGTGACGAGGAGGAGGGTTTCTGTAGTGCCATGCTAGGGGGACCACACTGCTCCTCCATAGATACAATACAGTGAGTGAGCGTTGTCATCCTAGGACACCAGTGAAAGCGGCAACCCCATCTGCGGACCAATGAACTGCAACATGTGGTCACATTGTGGGCGGGATCTCTGCACGTCTGCGATGTGTCACCGATGGTTCAACATTCACCTAAAAATGGACGGGGTCCGAAAATCAGTTCTGTCCGGTTCTAAGTGAACGCTGACGGGAGAAGAGTCTGGGAAGGCCGGAGAAGTGAGCGGAATGGGAGAATGTTGTCCCAGATTGTTCACTTCTCCAAACTCTGCACCCTTGTGTGAATAACCCGGTGAATGTCTTTCACCTCCTGTGCTGTGCGTACAACCAGCAAATGTACATGAACCCGCTCCTCTGCGGAAACAACACCGTGACACTTCCTGCGCACCGTGACACTTCCTGCGCACCGTGACACTTCCTGCGCACCGTGACACTTCCTGCGCACCGTGACACTTCCTGCGCACCGTGACACTTCCTGCGCACCGTGACACTTCCTGCGCACGTGACACTTCCTGTTCTCAGGGGAATATTTATAAAGCAGTGAATCTGATCCTCACCGGACATTCACTGCAGGAGAATCTTCATTGTGCGTATGTTTTAAACGACCGCGACTGATCCGCCACCAGAAAGTGTTTGAAAGTCGCATTCACTGCTTTATAAATATTTCTTGGTGCTGCCGGCTGAACGGTCCACTTCCTGTCGCGTACTCAAAGTTTATCACACAGACTCGAGGGGCGGCTCATCCGAGGCTCCGGGGGCTTCCACCACCAACATAGAAAACCCGGGGAGGGGGCGGCTCTGTTGCCTACACCCGGGGAGGGGGCGGCTCTGTTCCCTACACCCTGAAAGGGGGCGCTCTGTTCCCTACACCCGGGGGGGGCGGCTCTGTGCGGAATGAGGAGCTGCGTCTATGTATCTGAAGGAAAGAAACTGCCGAGTGAAAGGAAACATTGTAATTGAAATAAAAGAATCAGAAAATCTCTGTAAACGTCTTCAATGTCTCACTTCAATCCGAGTCTATGAGGAGGACAATGGCGGCCGGGTGCGGTAGGGTCTGTGGGCCCCCAGACAAAGCCGGGCCCTGGTCTCCATAGGGTGGGGAGAGTCCGCTGTCTCAGCTCAGGACCCGCACCCACCCAGTCCACACACAGAAGGCGGCACGGAGGGGCTCGGTGAAGGTTGTGGTGAAGGTGTGGAGGTGCCGGATCGGGTCGCCCAGCTCGGAAAAGGAGATCCGCCCGGCCTCGTAGTCCAGATGGATTCTCAGTTTACGGCGGGAGATTGCGTGAGGTAATTGGGTGACTTTCCCGTTATACATGGCCGCCAGCTTGTTGTCACTCCAACGTATGCACCAGGACGTTGTGTTGTTCCCGAAGAGTGACTGCCCCCCCTTTCTGGTGGTACTGCCATAGCAGAGCCCGATCCTCCACCGTCCCGGCTCGCTGGTCTCCACGTCCCACCGGTGCTGCCCCGACGAGAACATCCCGGTGCTCAGGACTTGGTAATATTCGAATCTCTCCGCCGTCTCCGCACGGCCCTGGTTCTCCTCCGACCAGGACGCGGTTTTCAAGTCACCGGAGACGACGACGCGGTTCCCGGCTGTGTTTATATCCAGTTCGATGTCTGAATCCCCCGAGACCCCGGCCCCCCGCTTCACGCCGGACATGATGTCGGACAACGCTGCCAATAATGTCTCGAAGATCCGAGTCTCCCCCAGATCTCCATCGTGGACCTCTTCTCTTGGACCCTCGTCCTCTGTTCTCTTGGCTGTGTCATGGAGGTCCTCTCTGTCCCGGGCCTGGAAGGCGGTCAGCGGTTCAGTCTGGTTGCACAATATCTCGATGTCATTCATCTTCCTCGAGAGCTCCTCCTTCTCCATCTCCAGCCGCTGGATCCGATCAGAGAATGAACCGGAGATCCGCTCTTCCTTGCTGGAGATCGCAGTCAGGACTCTGTTCTCCAGGTCTTCCAGTTGTCTCCGGAGGTCTCTGAACAGGACGGCGACTCTCTCCGTGACCTCGGCTGCTTTTCCCTGCACCTCTCTCCTGAGTTCCTGCAGTTTCCGGACCTTCTCCTCGGCCTCTCCTCTCCTTGCGGTCAGTTTCTCCAGAGTCTCTTGAAGTCTATCCTTCTCCGAGGCCTCATCCGGTGATTCCACCCGGTGTCCCCGGTGCTCTCCATCCAGCCTGCAGGACGCACAGGAACTATCCAGGATCTTCTGGTGGTCGGGGCATTTCCCGTCTCTTGCGGACCTCCTTGGCGGAATCAGAGTGTGTTGTACCGACTTGTTGTGTTTCCTCAGGTGGTCGTCACACATGGCGGTCTCGCACTGCACGCAGGACCTGGCGGCAGGGACAGGAGAGTCGCAGTAGGTGCAGTAGATCCCGGTCTCCTCCGGATCGGGCAGAAGGGACAGGAAATGCTGCGCTATGTTGCGCAGGGTTTTGTTCTTCCTCATATCGGAGCGATCTTGAAACTCTTCTCTGCACTCGGGACAGCTGTACACTCCCGTCCTCTCCTGCGTCTTCAGAAAGTCCTCGATGCAGAGCCGGCAGAAGTTGTGTCCGCATCTCAGCGTAACGGGATCCGCGTAAATCTCCAGGCAAATCGAGCAGCCGAGCTCTTCCCGTAAGTCGTTGGAAGCCATGGTGCCGAGCTGGAAGGAGAAGCGATATCCTGGAAATCCTCTCGGCAGGTCGTGTAACTCGATCCTCAAAGGTGCAAAGGGCGTCTCGGTTCCTCCTCGTCACCCTGACGGTTGCTCCACGCCCATCTCTGACAGCGACGTACGGAGTGTGGTAGGTGCCGGCGCCGCCCTCGCTCTGCTCTGCAGGTTCTATACAATTCCCTGTCACAACCATTTCCATCGAGAGTACAAAACGAAGCGGCAATCCGGGCCGAGAACGGACAGACGGACGCACCACCATGCCGGCTTTTCATACAATGTAACAATATAAATGTTTATTTCGATGGAATGAAACATTGTTAATAAAGTGTAATGTAAACACAACGTCTATTTCTTGGTTTGTTTGACATCCGGGCTCACTGTACACCGCTCCCCTACGTCCGGTTGACAAGTCTGCTTTGCATCTAGGAGCCAGCTAAAAAAAAAGTTATGAGCCAGTTTTGTTTTTTAATTTAACAAACAAAGCTTTATTTATAACGTCAGTTGTAATTTTCAATTACAGTTTCAATTGTTGTTTTCGTACGTAGGGGCACCCAATGTTTCTGATGCGCGTGGTCGCAGCGGCGGGGGACTTTAAATTTGTTTTTCGGTATTTAAACATTTTTTTGTTTACTTCATTATCATATTCTGGAGCGTCTCACAAGCCATAGCACATTGGAGGTGACAGGTTCTCTTTAGGTTGATATTAGGGGTCTATTAGACCCCCGAGTGTCACCTTCCACTTCAATAGCTTTAGCTGGGGAGTGACAGCTGCTTGCTGAGGCAGCTGAATGGAAACACAGCAGCCAGTGGGCGGGTGCTACTGCGATTTAAAATAGCCAATAGCAGGCCGGCTATCACTCCCAGCCGCTGGATGGGGGACTTATCACCGGCTTTCTACCACCGGCGGTAGATCGGAAGAGGGGGCACAGCGGGAGAATGCAGTCACAATGGCTGACAGCGGTCTCTCCTCCCCGCTGGGGTCCAGCTGCAGCAGTCTGTGTCCCCTCCCATCCCCGCTGCTGATACAGGCAGGGAGAGCAGTGAGGAACAAAGGGGACACAGACCCCAGCATGACTAGTCGCCATGGAGACCTGGGATTTGTTGAGCCCCGCCCCAAGTCCTTCTTCTTTCCCAGAGATCCTCCCAGTAGCAGCACTTCCTGTTTCCAGCTGACAACGTTAAACCTCTGCCTTGCTGATAGCAGCATTGTTGTCAGATGGCCATGTGAGCTCCTGCGGTCATAGACCTATTAGGCAGCCCAAAGGCCAACCGAAGGAGCTCACACAGCAGGATGACAGCTCAGCCGCCAATATCGGGGCACCAGGAAAGTTCAAAACTAACCTTGGACAGTATTTTCCTGAAAGAGTAGTTGATGGTTGGAACAGACTTCCAGCAGAGGGATGGAGACGGAGATCTCCACTCAGACTAAAGAGGGTTCAGACTCGATGGATCATTTGGTCTATTTCGGCTACAAGAGGCCTTGGAATCTGAATGTGGCACGCCTTATATATTTGGATGGCACGGTGGAGGGTCAGAACCTCTGCCAAGATTTAGGGAGAGTCGCCTTCACTTCCTGTTTAGTCACCAGGACAGGAAGTGGAGAAAATCTCCCCAGCTGGGACACAAGTGATAAAACCCGACCCTTCCCGTCTCTGCACAACTCTCAGCCCCAACGTTGACTTTCAGGTCCAGACAATTATGGAAGAAATCTGCAGAAACTTCTGATTTTCTCTTTAACTGCAAATCAGGATTTTATTGAACGATCTAAACAGCTTTATCGACAGCAGACAATAATACAGAGAACACAAAAGGCTCCGCCCCAATGTGAAATGTTCATTGATGTAAAACAAGAATCCGCGGCGCGGTGCCAGTCGTCACATTGCGGAGCGCACGCAGCGCCGGTCACCGTCTCGGTTTCTTTGTGTGCAGTTTCTGGTGAGCCGCCAGCTGACTTGTGTCCGGGAATTGCTCGTTACATTGATCGCAGCGGCGCTCTCTCCCCGGCGGCGCTCTCTTTGATCCGGTCTGCTCAGATCCCGAGATGTTGGGGGCCGCGTCAGAGGAGAGGCTGATGGGGCACTGGAGAAGCGTCTTCCTGGAATACGTCTTGTGGCTCCGCCCCCCCGGGGGTCTGAGGTCTTGTGGTATGAAGCGGGAGGATGTGGTCCCATCCTGTGCTATCCAGAGCTCGGAGCGCATTGATTGGCGGGAATCGATCCTCATGCCGCATCTATGGATGACCTCGCCTGCCAATGAGAATGCAGAGAGGATTATCTATTCATGTGCTGCAGGTGAAAGGTTTGACCTCTGCCTGATCAGTACTTCCTGATAATCAATACTTCCTAGTTATACATCCTGATAATCAATACTTCCTGATGATCCATACTTCCTGATAATCAATACTTCCTAGTTATACTTCCTGATAATCAATACTTCCTGATGATCCATACTTCCTAGTTATACTTCCTGATAATCAATACTTCCTGATAATCAATACTTCCTAGTTATACTTCCTAGTTATACTTCCTAGTTATACTTCCTGATAATCAATACTTCCTGATGATCCATACTTCCTGATGATCCATACTTCCTGATAATCAATACTTCCTAGTTATACTTCCTGATAATCAATACTTCCTAGTTATACTTCCTGATAATCAATACTTCCTAGTTATACTTCCTGATAATCAATACTTCCTGATGATCCTTCCTTATTATATCTCCTGATAATCAATACTGCCTGATAATACTTCCTTGTTATACTTCCTGATGATCAATACTTCCTGATGATCCTTCCTTGTTATACTTCCTGATAATCAATACTTCCTGATTAATGTCGGCTGTCTGCAATGTAACCTGACTGAGAGTTTCCGATGTTACGTGTGATAATCGGAGCCGATATCTGATCGATCAATAATCATCAATGACCAGAAATCACACCGACAATCCCCTCCTGGTTGCGGATTGGTCGTGGTTTTATCTCCTCCTCCTTCCCGGCGGCCTGACATTATCTCTCACACACGGACAATGGATCATGTGATCATGACGATGGACATGTGATGTGTGAGTGAAACCCTAAAGAGAACCTGTCCTAACGGTTCCACCTGAGCTGATGTTTCGGGTCCCTTTATGACGTCTTCAAATCGATCTCTGTGTCTGTGCGCATCCTCCTTGGATTCTGGGCACGGTTGTGTTTAAGCCCCGCCCTCTCCTGACACTAAGCCCCTCCCCCCTGGTGGTCAACTTTCCAATGGCACAACATGTGTGAGCAGTAAAGGCTCTGCCATCTAAAAATGGGATAATGGGTGGAGCTTAGTGTCAGGAGGAGGGGGTGGAGCTTAGATTCAGAAAGAGGTGGGACTTAGTGTTGGAGAAGTGGAAGGAAATCTACCCAATGGAACACAGACGGGAAAACATGTCCGCGGTCTAACCACCCCCCTCCCCCATCCCCCACCCCACCCAGAATCAGAGGAAAATCTTTTGTCTTTAGACTATAAATAAGCGGCTGAGTTTAGTGTTACCTGGGGGGGGATCCGTCCGGGGAGGGGGGTCACCACGTGGCTCTGTAGTGAAGAGAGAGATATAGAAGTATTAATCCTCCTGTGAAATGACACATTGTATCCTTCCATGTAACGCTGAGCCGGGGGCCAGATACGGATTATCTGTATGATGTATGTTCCATACACTTCCCACACACGTCCCGTACGCGTCCCACACACGTCACGTACACTTCCCACACACATCCCATACACGTCCCATAGACTTCCCCTACATGTTCTATACACTTCCCACACACGTCCCGTACGCGTCCCATAGACTTCCCCTACATGTTCTATACACTTCCCACACACATCCCATACACGTCCCATAGACTTCCCCCTACATGTTCTATACACTTCCCACACACATCCCATAGACTTCCCCTACATGTTCTATACACTTCCCACACACGTCCCGTACCCGTCCCATAGACTTCCCCTACATGTTCTATACACTTCCCACACACGTCACGTACACTTCCCACACACATCCCGTACACGTCCCATAGACTTCCCCCTACATGTTCTATACACTTCCCACACACGTCCCGTACGCGTCCCATAGACTTCCCCTACATGTTCTATACACTTCCCACACACGTCATTGACTGGAGTGAGCCCACTATTATTAACTCCTTTTTTACTACTTTCTGTGTTATTTTTACCTATGATTAAATTATCTTCGTTTAGTTTAAGTAATTTTATTTTTATACCCTCCCCCCCACTTTCTAGTTTAAAAGCTCCTCCAGTCTTTCTACCATTTTCCCCCCCAGGAATGCTGCACCTTTCCCATAAGATGCATAGACTTCCCCTACATGTTCTATACACTTCCCACACACGTCACGTACATGTCCCACACACATCGCGTACACGTCCCATAGACTTCCCCTACATGTTCTATACACTTCCCACACACGTCACGTACACTTCCCACACACATCCCGTACGCGTCCCATAGACTTCCCCTACATGTTCTATACACTTCCCACACACGGCCCATCGGTGTCCCATACACATCCCACACACATCCCGTCCTCCAACATTCACCGAGTGCGCGGATTGCTCTATGTCCATGTTCTCGCAGTGTGAACTGTCTGTGCTGCGTGAGGTCTCACCGGTGGAATTCTTCGCCACGTCCTTGTCTTCAGTTTCCTTATTTACGAATTCTTCATCTTTCGCTGCTAAATAAGAGAAAAGAAAGATAAGCGGACGGCAATGTGAAAAACTACCGACAAATGACCAACATCGTGCCCCTAGACCGCGGAGAACGCCCCCCTCCCCCACCTGGACGAACCAAATGACTGATTATATGTCTGTGGCCCTCCAGAGTCTCCTGGCCGGGTCACATGGGTCTGGTCTATACCCCCCTGGCCGGGTTTGGTTGGGTCACATGGATCTGGTCTATACCCCCCCCTGGCCGGGTTTGGTTGGGTCAGGTGA